AGTGCCCTCTTTAATTGGGTCCTGCAGACGATTAAGGACAGTGTTGAGGTCATCCGTGGCTATCTGACCCTAGAGGATCATCTTTTGGCTGTACTCATGAAACTCAGATTAGGACTCACCAACAAGGATATTGCATTCAGATTTAATGTTAACGAATGTGACATCTCTAAAATCTTAAGAAGTTGGCTGCCTATTATGTCTCAGATTTTGAAACCTTTAATCAAGTGGCCAAGTAAGCATGCTATTTTAAAGAATATGCCAAAATGTTTCAAACCTAAATACCAGCGTTGCAGGTGCATTATTAACTGCACAGAAATTTTTGATTAACAGACCAACAAATTTAACAGCCAGAGCCCAAACATATTCAAATTATAAGAGCCATAACACGGTTAAGTATTTGGTTGGCATGTCACCTGCAGGAGCAATTACATTTCTGTCTGCAGGTTGGGGTGGGCGTGTTTCTGATAAACAACTTTCAGTCGAGTCTGGATTTTATGACCTTCTACAAGTAAATGATGAGATACTAGCAGATCGTGGTTTTACCATTAGAGATGAGCTTGCCTTGCGTGGTGCTACCCTGAGGATCCCTCACTTTACCAAAGGTAAAAAGCAGTTGTCTGCTCAAGAGGTGGAAACATTGAGGCGTTTGTCCAATGTTAAAATACACATTGAAAGAATAATAGGGAGATGGAAAACTTTCCGAATTCTTACTACTGTTATTCCTTTATCACAGGTGGACCTGTTAGATGACATTGTAATTGTTTGTGCAGCATTGACAAACATTTGCAAATGCATAGTCCCTAGAAAATAAATTAAAAGCCCTTAATTGAATTGTGCCAAAATTAAGGCCTTAATGTTGTTAACATCTATGAATTGAGGTTTAAATGTCATTGAATATTATTTTTTTTGAAAAAAATGATTGCCTAAGTATTTTCACTGCATAAGCTCATTGAACATTCAAAAGCTGTGGTTTAAAACATTTTGCAGCAGTTTTGGTTCAAAATGTGTGTTGTATCCAGTTTGCTTTTGAATATTGAGATTTTTCCTCATTCCTCTGTTGTATGATATATTTCAAAATCTTAAATGAAATATGCAGATATTTTGCTTTGTGTTTTGCCATTGAAAATAAAACAATTCAATCAGCTGATACCTGTGTACACCCTGTGTAAATATTAATAAAGTATTCAAGAGTCAAGGAAACATTGAAATATATTTATTCTTGTGCATGTAACCAATAATAAAAATAACAATATTAAACAATCTTGTCATAAGATGCACACTGAGAACCTTAGTGCATACTTTGAATGGTAAGCACAGGTACAGTTACAACTCTATGTTTCAGAGTGCATTTTTTCTAGTTTTTCTGTTTTTTGCGCTGATCACAATACCATTCTTTAGCCTTTCTTTTTACTTTTGCACATTCGTAGTGGAATGCCTATTGCACTTTGCACAGGTGGGAATGAATGTCCGGCCACTGAATTTTTGGGCCATTTTTTCTCGTCATTTATCCACTCACCGGCATGTAACGCGTATGGGTCATTAAGACGTATTCCATTAACTAGTGTTAATTTAGCAGCATAACTTATTTTATCACTAGGTGATAAACTGTTGTAGAACGCTGACAACATCGCTAGCTAGCAGATCGCAACTGCTAAATAACCGCGTATAATCACAACATTCGACCAGACGCTTTAAAGGACCCGGCACTTTTTGCAGTCAAGATGCGCGCGCATCCGCCGTGTTGATAAACAAATAATCCCTCTATATGGAACAGAATAGGACAACTAGGAGGGAGCCAAGGAGAAGGAACAGGCACAAGGGGGCAACAGAGAGTAACTAAAGAAATACCAATCTGACAGAAAACAACTACAGAGAGCAGAACCCTGAGAGATGATAGCTTAAGCTATAAGATGAATGAACAGGAATGCTCTCAAGATGTGTAAATCTGTTAAAGGTTTACCTCATAATTTCTGGATAACAATATTTACTAAAGGAATGAGATGTATTAAAAAAAAAAACTTCTACTTTTATTTATGAAAACATTTTAAACCAGTTTTCAGCTTGACAATTTTGTGGTACTTTGTGTTGACCTTCATAAAGATATGAATACAAAAAACTGTACAATGAAGACAAATAAGTGAGGCAGCCAGTTTGCTGCTTGTTGTAGAGCCCCACTGTAACCAGAAGAGGGCAACCACTTACCACTTACAGTCACAGTTGTTTCTGCATACTTAAAAAAGCAAGCATTCAATTATTCTCAGGAACCACAGGGCATTTTGCATGAACAGTATCACATTATTGAAGGGGATTCCTTTGATTCCATTAAATGTAAGTCCTTAATCTAAAATAAGAAGACAGCAAGAGAGATGCTTAAAACCTTAAAAAAAGATCGTGTAAAAATTATTTATTACTATTGTACAAATGCTGATGAAGGTTCTCAGTCATCCAGGTCATAGTCATTCCGTAAAAATTCAAAAAATATCCACTGGACTTGGTTTTCAAGATTTGAAGACGTTTCGCCACCTCTCCAGGAAGCTTTCTCAATTCACATTTGAATTGAGAAAGCTTCCTGGAGAGGTGGCGAAACGTCTTCAAATCTTGAAAACCAAGTCCAGTGGATATTTTTTGAATTTTTACGGAATATTGTACAAATGCATTGAACAAACTCTTTTCCCTCACAGCTCTTCCATACAGTAGTTAAAGCTTTGTATTCTCTATAATTGACACCCAAAATTCCACAATTAAGGACCATGTCAGTCAGGATATTTTCAAGTAAAAGATGCTTTTCCTCCTTTGGTCTGAATGAACTACACAGCTACACCAGGATAAGTCTGTGATTAGACAGCGGTTACTCATTTTATCTGGGAACCTACAGGGAAACTGACATGATCAGAAGTGGCTAGGAGGAAGGGAAGGAAGAAAGGAAGGAAGGAAGGGAACAGGTGGCCAAATGTGAACAGCAACATTGAAAGAGCAATGCAACAAGACTGGAGACAAATGGAAGAAAGGTGCAAAGATTAGACAAGCACAAGATGCAATAGATGAGCAAGACAAGATCTTAATAGAGCCAAGATAAGACAGGAGGAGATTAAATGAGGGAGAACAAATGGCTGTGATTAAGAATAAAAAGAAAATAACCAGAGTGGGAGAGGAGACGGATGAGAGCTTGCAGTAATAGAAAAAGAAAGGAGACTAAGAGGAGCAGAAAGAGGGGCGATCAAGAGTGGGAGAAGAGACGAGGAGGTGGGCTGCCGATGACTCATCACCAGGCTAACATCCCCAGTGGGATGGGTAACTGTGGGGGTGGCAGTGTGACACACACAGGGTTTTCTGGCCGTCACGCTGCTTCTATGTCTCCTCCCGCTGCGGAGGCGGTTGGAAGACAATACGGGGATACCACTGAGATGTAAGAGATCACAGTCGACCAGTAGCAAACGGTACCCCTGACACAAATATGCACATGGTAATGGTAGAGCAGGAAGCCTGAGTAAGAAGGAGCAGAGTACAGCTCTGGCAAACACTCCCCTTCTTCATTCATACTTTATAAGATGGTGCATATGCAAAGAGGGGTAAAAATATAAGAGGAAGAAGAGAGGGAGACTTAAAAAAAGAAACAGGCTTGACACCTCAAACAGGGTTTTGCTTCGCTCTTCCTCCCACTGCTTAAACAGTTTTAGTATACAACCATATCTGAGCTGCTTCTGCTCAGTATATGCATGCAGAGAGCCATGCTGATCATTGTCAACTGTCATGCACAGCACAGTGATCCAATCATAGATCACACAAGATCTCTTTGGTGCCGAGTCCATCTCAGAGTTGCCATGCCAACAGATTGGGGAGGGGGATCCTAAGTATGATCTAGGCCACTGCACACAAACACCTCAAATTCATAGATGCATGCAATCAAAGGAGCACGCGTGCACGCAGTCTCCCATTGTAAAAAAAAAAAAACTGTTTATTGGGAGCAGCTGCATGTGATTGTGTTTATTGTGGGGATCATCGCACTGCAGTGTTTAAAAAAACCTGCACAATTGAGATAAAAAGACACATAAAAGATAAACTCAGAAAACCAGTGAAATGATGGAAACCTTTGTAGGAATCTGTATTTATTTCAAGTCTACATACATTCAGACATCTCCCAAATAGAGAAGTTGTCATTGCTTGGATGTAAATCTGCATTCGCCTTTGTGAACAAAAAGAGGATGAAGTTTGGTTTGTGGATTCCAGCTGCCTTCTTCGCACCTGCATACTTATGTGCTTAGAAATTGTCACAGAGACGTAAAGATTGAGAAAAATATATGTCTGACTGCAGTGGTGCAGCATTTTGGGATTCATTCATCTGGAGTCTAAACAGGTTTAGAGATGAAGTAGATAAATGTAGAAACATTGGATTTTATTAATGTAGGTCATGTGTCGAAGAAATGTGCATGTTGTCATTGGTTAGTTAATGGTTTAATAACGTATAGTGTCTTGCAAAATTATTTATGTATTTTGTCTCATTTCAACCACAAACTTTAAAGCATTTCATTTGGGTTTTGCAGCAGACCAACAGGAAGTGTTGCACAATTTTAAATTAGAAGGGAAATGATAAATGATGTTCACATTTTAGTTTAGAAAAAAAATCTTGGGTCGCATTAAGCCATCTTTACTGATTCCCCTAACCAAATATCCAGTGATACATATAAACTTTAGACATCAAGCTAAAAATTGAATACATCAAATGTTAGTTTATTTACTTCTATTGGTATCGTGTAAATCCCCCGTTTGTGTGGGGAAGTACCTGCATCAGAGTTCATACAACTTGTAAGTAAATATGTGATCGAGTTGGTAAAGTTCTTCTCTGTGCATAAATGCCTCATGTTCTAATTGAAATGTTTGCATAATGCAGTTCATGAATATACAAATGTACAGACAGAATCACATATAAATACATGTAATGATGGGATGTTTATTAAGCATTTATGTATCCCTGCATTGCTGTTGGTATGAACATGTTTGGTTTAGTCGCTGTCTTCCCTTTCCTGGGTCTCGGTCAAGGAGCTCTCGTCGAAATTCTCCAGGCTCTCTGCGCGTTGAATGCTAAGCTCCGAAAGTGGGATTGTGGGTAACGTGGTCTGTTCGGGGTACAGCCAGGGTTTGAAGTTTGGGCTGTGTCTCTGCTTCCACTCTGCGTACTTCAGACAGGCTTTGCTGATTTTTTTCATCGCCTATGTAGAGGACAGAAAAAAGGAAGCCAGTTAAGTTTGTTATCGTTTATGCTTCGGTTTCTGTTGTCTTCCAAAATTTTACAATAAACATTTCTGATCACTTTTTATAATAAATTAGACTCTGTGTAAGCTGAAACATGAAGCTGTTAAGTCTGTCCCAAATCTTTTAGTAAAGAGTGCTTCAGTGATGGAGGAGGTGCAGATGAGCCGGAGAGAGCTCCTGAAAGGAGTAAAATTCCCAATTTTTATATGGATGAAAGACCTCCAAGGTGCCCTGTACCCTTTATATGCATCTCTGCTCCTACACAACCAAAGCAAAGGCCTGAATTACACCCTCCTCCTCAGTCTGCAATCAAGTTCTCCATTTGAATTAGGCGTGTTGAGGCAGACGCATCTAAAAGGTGCAGAACACTCAACCTTGAATACTTGTAGAATTTATCCATCAAGCATCTTTACACATTCAGGAGCTTTTTCCCATTTAAAAAGGATTCTGAAGTTATCAGCTAAAATATGAAGATTCATCTTAATATTTTAAAACTCTTTACTGATGAAAGCAGCACTAAGCCTTTCAAGGCCACTTTCTGCACATTCTTTGCTTCCTTTCGACACACATTTTAAATCACCCCAAACGGTGAAAAACGAAGCCAACCTACATTTCAGAAATGATCTAGACAGAACGTCCTTTTTAAATCGCATTCAATTCCCAGTGTTACAGCTTGTGTGCTGTGAGGGTACCGTCAAGACTCTGCATAACGGCATGGAAAAAAAACACAAAAGACACACAGGATCTGTGGTAATATGTGCAAGACTTACACGGGGAGCCAGGAAGTGAGAGGACTTGTTGACAACCCACTTGGGTAATGAACCTGTAAAAAATAAAAATAAAAAAATAAGGAGAGAGAGGGATAAGGCTGAATTCGACAAGGAAGAGGATGACGAGGGCCTCTGGGGCATGAAAGAGGGATTTTAGATTTGCTTTTATTACATTACGCATCAAATACATCAAAGGGAGGCTTAGCAACTTGGTACCTGCACAAACACACTAAAGATAGGTCATCCCTGAGAATAAAAAATAACTATCAGAGACAAATATAATCAAAATATCTGAACAGAGAAACAGCAGGACATAAAAACAGAAGGATCAAACCACTGAATGTCTGTGATATGGTTACCAGGACGACTCATTTTAACATAAAGGTAGATGAATGAATAATTTATGCAGAATGCATTAAGCACCTGGAAGAGGGAGCCTCTATATTTCCATCCTTATGTGCTGCATGTGCACACTATTTTACAATGTTGTTTGTTGCTTTGCTACAGAATGTGTGTATTATTTACCTCGCGGATCTACCTGCGCCATGTAAGTGAGGGTACAGTTGCTTGGTCCCTGGCTCTGAATCATGTAGCCCGTCTGAATGGAGACTGCCCGCACCATGTCCTTTTTAGGTGGGTATTTCTGTGGAGACAACAATACCAGTGCATGTAGAAAAAATGCACAAAAAACTGGAGGATATAATTTACATTATCTATGAATCTAATGTGTCATCTTAAGTAATTTCCATATAATTAATGCACATGTGTATAAGAAAATAAAAGGTTTTTTAGACAAAGAATAACGTGTGAAATGTTTGCAGCAAATGCATCAAAATCCTTTTCTTTAATTGATTCTAAATCAAAGGAACCACTTTAAGCTACACCCTGCGTTGTGCTGTATAATTTTGCTGCTAACTTCTCAGGCCACAAAGCTGACACAATTATTCATTTTAATAGCATACAAAACTGGTTAGCCAGCACTAACTGCAACAGGATCGCTGCAGAGCACTAAAACAGCACACAGAGCAGCAGGGAGCTGGAAACAGTTAGAGGAACTTTACATAAACGCTTTATCTTTCTTTCATGCCATCTGATGCTTATTTTTGGAGTCCGTCTACTCTGCTAACAGGTTACAGTGAGGGTTTTCTGCTGTGAGAACCTTGGCAGTTCTGTTCATTAATCATCTGCAGAATGGTCACAAGTCAAGTAGCACTATGTTCTGAGCTAATGGACTTTTAGGCTAAACTGCACTAAATTTGATGAATTTTTATGACATCCAGCACATGAGGAAACATCTTGGGCAGCTGATAGTCACATTTATTTTTGAAAACAGCTTTTTTTTCTTTTGCCAAGAAAAAAAAAAAAAGTTTTCTCTGTTGACAAGAGAGAGATCTTACATCTTGAATCCTTTGATGACAGGTGAAAGCAAAGGAAAATAGAAAAAAGGTAGAAGATTATACAACAATTTAACAAACCCAGAAAAATTAAAGTAACAATGCCAAAACTGAAGACTCTTTAAATGTGTTTTGAAAACAAAAACAGAACAAGAAGCTCCAAAGATTTATGCCCAGTTATCTCTATGTGCTGCTAAATGCCGAACAAAAACAAAGCTGAGGTCTAAAGTGGGATCCAAAGAAGAAACAAGATCATTTAAAAATCAGCCTTTTTACTGCACAGAAATGAATCTACAAGAGGAGATTTTAAATCAGCTGCAAAAATGCTAAGGTTCATTCTTAAAGAAGAGCGTAGGATGCTAAAAAGAGTCTTCAACACTGGAGAGTTTTAAAGAAGGTATGTGAGGAGGACACCGAAGGTTCCTGCTGTGTGATAAGTCTTTGTCTTAAAAGAAAACCTCTACTAGTGGACCTGAATCAGTGGTCATTCAGGCTGACAGACTGCCGGTTTAGACCTCCCAGAGATCACTTCAGAAAGTGGCAACGTGTCAAATTGTCTGATATTTTCTAGGAAACTAGCTGTGCGACCTCTGCATGTCGGATTTCGTCCTTTTCTGCCGTGACATGACAGGCAGTTTGAAAATTGTACTCGACATTTTTGTCACAGTTGGGTTTCATTGCTCCCAAACCCAAATTCAATGTCCGACATGCTTTGGTCAAAACACAACAGGAAATCATCACAAAACCAAGAACATGCATCCTATCTTCATATTTCCATTTCCTCTTTAGCAGACTAAGAGGAGGCCTCCGAAACAAACTAACTTTCTCTCCATTCTACAACACTCTGGTCAAGGTTGTCAAAGCCGTGTCAAAACACTGAGATCCCTATTAAAAATGAGAACCAATGTATCACATATTGCAGTCATAAATACCTGGCTGCTCTGCAAGCAGACCCTCTGATTTATTCAAGATTTTGAGGCAAACAGAGAACTTATCCATTACCGAATTCATGAAAAGATTAATTTCCTTTAAGGGTATGTTAAACGGCAAAGAATAAAAATATATATCTTTCTTGGAAAACAAACACTGCTCTAAATTTGTTGTTAAATGCTGTATAAATTAAGGTCACCGCAAGTTATTACTCGTATTTTAGATGATGAGTCGCTGCGACATTAAAGCTGAGAGGAAACAAAGATGAAAGAGGACGATTCTTTTCTAATGGGAATAAAAGTAATCTACTTTAACTCCAAAAACCTAACCTCCATCTTTGTCTAATTTAATTTTCCCTACTTTATCTCTTCTATATGCTTTAAACATACTAGGCTCAAATTTAGCTTTTTTAATCTACTGCGTATTGATGTACTTATTAATTAAACTAAATGACAGGCCGTACAGTGGAAAGTCTTAAGTTCAGCTGATAAGCACCACTGACCTTGCCAAATCCCACAGACCAAACATGCATGCATGGACACTGAGTCCATTATGTCTGTAAACTCTAATTGAGGCAGGAATGCGGAAGGCCAGGCGGAAGTCCATAGTTACCAGTCACATGAAATGACTTATCCTTCAGTAAACTTTGTTTTATTAAGGGAAACTGGGAATGAGACAGAGAGAGAAGAGAGGAGGGAAGCAGATGGGGAATTTCATTTAGAAAGAAATGAAGAAATGCTTTAAATGTTTTAGGTTTTTAGAAAATGTAATTTCTTTCATATAATATAGAGCACAAAATCGAGTCTGCTCTCATTTCTTTCATATTTGACTGCAGTAGCCAAACATCCACTTTGAAGTCATTTTGATCTATGGTTCTTCAGCGTTTTGAAGGTTTTCCAACAAACTTAATTTATGAGCGAGTCATAGTAAATATTTTTAAAAACCTCATTGCCGACTTTTGCGACTGAAGTAAGATCCTATAACTGTGATAAACCAATTAAATGCATCTGTGCTAACAGCATGCAAAACTGTGTGATTAATGCCTGTCCATCTGTATGAGGCTGCTTTAAACCAACAAACATTGCATCCCCAGTGCTGTCTTAAAGCCAAATACCAGGCCGTCTACAAAGGGAAAAGCATTTGTTAAACCCCCACACTGACTTTTGTTTTATTCTGGCATCAAATAAAGCTTGAGGGCTCTGTGTTTAACTATGCTAACTTCACAGCAAATATCATATTTTAAGCTAGACAGAATAAGTAAATAAATATAAAAACTGGACCCATTTCATTAACTGCCTCTCTTAATACTTATAGAAATCCCCTCACTAGTGCTAATAAATTCCTGGAAAGCTAACAAACAGTAGAAGGTCCTGTGTTAGATCTTTAAACATAACATTATGACTGCGGACGGGTGGCATGAAAACAGCTGATCACCTCTTGACAATATGAATTGTTAATGTGTGGGATATCTTTTCTCAAAGCTTGAGTTCAAAGCAGATGGCATGGGAACATCATTTGAGTGAGCCTGACAAGGACCAGGCTCAGACCAATGGTGTAACTATCGGTAAGCAAAAACTGCAGTTGCTTAGGGGCCCCGTCACTTACACCTGGTTGGCCCCCTACACAATTGTGGACTAGGACGTCTGTTTGCAGATATAATGGTGCGAAAAATTCTTCGTAAACCCACCTGTTACAAGTTTGACTGACCAGACCGTATTTATACCCCAACATATGGCAGATTTCAACATGATGGTGAGCCGTTTAAACACGACACCGATAGAAAAGCAGACAGTGGTACTTTTAATTACTATGTTAATAACTGTGTATAGTTCATTAGACGGTCATATAATATGTTCCAAACCACAATAAAGATCTTAAAAGAATGATGTATTTGAGTATTTTATTTTTTTCACTCTATGACTTGGAATTATGGGTAATCCAGAGTGTCGATTCAAACCATAATCGTTATGTATAATGTGTTAGCAACGATGGATACCCAAAAGAGGTACTTAAGCGGATTCCAGAAAAGAAAAAGCAAAAAAGAGCTGCTGGAAGAACGGAAAAAACTATGGGGCCCACCCAGATAATGTTGCTTACAGGCCTATTGTTGTGTCGTTAAGCCATTGGGTCAGACCATCTCATAAAAAAAGCTGTCTTAGTCAGTTAATGTACATGAGAACCAGTGTGAGTCAACCCATTGGGTTAGCTACTTCTAGATCTACTCATTGCAGAAAAAAAAGGGATGGTTGGAAAGAAGTCAGAAAAAAACAATACGACAAAGTTTGTTGCCATCGGTACAACCAAAGACCAATCTGTTGCTCAGCGGAAGTCATAAATGAAGCATTTTTGATCAACTGATTGAGATTTCAATATTGTTTTATTTACACAGACATCGATTCAGAATGCACTTTATGCATTTTTTAGTATTTTCTTAATAGAAAATAGAAACACTCAAACTCCTTCAGTTTTTTATAGCTCCTATTTAGCTGTGCTGCATGACAGGGCAGCGTCGACTTCTCTGCTGTGCTTTAGAGGAGAGGATTTGTGATTAACAATAGAGGGCATAACCAAAAAGTTAATATTTAATCCCAACCTACAGGAGTCCTTGGTGCCATATGCCACAGCATACTCTCAGCAATCAAGTGAAGACTGATCAGGTCAGGGTCACTTTGATACAAGATAGGGGATCAGAGACACATGTCAAAGTAAAAATAACCTGAAATCAAACCCAACTCACCTCAAGAAATACTAACGACAGCTTTTGTGAACAATATGAGGAAAATCTTATTCTTTAAATCATACATCTCACTGCTTGTCCAGGTTTCTTAAAAGGTTCAAACAACAAGGTTTTTAAATTTGTTAAAACAGCCTTGGGGGAGATTAGGAGATATTTAGGTCCCCAGCCCAACACACACATACACACAGGCACACAAACAAGACCCCACAGTCCCATATTGGAGAAGCTGCCAATTTATCAGGTTTTTGTCCCGAGTCCAATTTGTTACTCACATGGTCCTGTTCTTTAATCACCATATTTGTTCTACTACCACTTGACAATTAAATTGGTCAAGTTCTTAGAAAGTATGTTTAGTAGCTAAAGAGTTCAGCTGCACCAGATTAATGATCTTATAGTGAAACTGAAGCAGTGCTGGCAAACCTATTGTAAAAGCATCAAGGGGCGGGTAGTGCTGTCTAAATGGACGGGTGCCAAACACTCTCCTCTTCCTGGGTAGACTGCTCCTCCATAAGATAAGTGGAATCTTAAATGGCTAGTGAAAGCTTTGCATCACCTCCTCTCTATATAAAGGCATTCAGAGCCTTTACTAAAGTGGACTGAAGTTCATTTCGGCTGAGCCAACAAGCTCCTATTTTGTTTCATTTCTTTCACACTGATGCATTAGCATTCTATTTTTCCACACAACAAAAAGCATTATAAAGTGGATGAATAGGTAGGACCAGAGCAAGTGTACAACGTACAATGTAGGTTTTTCTGCGCTTATATACTCACGGAATGCTTAACAGAGTAATTCATGATGATGTAATCCTTCCCTATCGGCAGCCAGGAACGAAGTGTGATGACGTCCCGGTTCCGGAGAGGTTTGGGACACTTCCCTTTAAGACCAATAGAGTAAAACGAGCCATTGTGAGCACAATAAGCATTTCATGTGACCACTTCCTCTCACTCACACATGTACATACAAACAATGCTGAGAAGTAAAAGTACAACGTACATGAGTAGTATCCGACGTCTGCATTCACCGTGAGCTTCCCGATATCAAAGGTCTCGATGACATTTGAGTCCCACTTTTTTCTGTATTCAATGTCATGGAGAACATCGTACATCGTGTCTGCAGCCACATCCTTGCATACCATGCGACACTGAAAGAAAGAGAAAAATCATTATAGGCCAATACAAAACCACAAAAAGGTACTGGAGCTAAATAATACTGAACAGTATCGTTTTAACAGTGCCTTAAATTTTTTTTAGAATGTGAATAGAATGCAATATGATTAAAAAACAAAGTACTACATAACAGTAAAGTAAATATGTATGATGGGTATCGGCTGGCTGTGACCCAGGGGGCATTAGGGAGGGAGGCCTAAGACAAATTAGGAAACAAAAAAAACTTGCAAAAAAAAGTTTTTTTTCATCCTCATGAAATATAGTTACTAATAACCTATAACTTGTAATATATCTTTGAAAACCATGAGGATTTTAAATCTATGAACCATGAGCTTCTTTCTCTGTATAAGTGTAAAAGAAAGGACTATCACATCTTGGCTGATGAGAAGTAGAAAGGGATCAATTCATCTGCCAACTGATAACGTTTTTTTAATCGTATCGGACATTAAGTGCACTTGTAAGCGCATTCAGCAGCCATGCTTTAAGATCATGAGTGCATGCATCGCCAATCCCCTGCATTTGCTAGAAATTGTTAATGTTTTGTATGTTAAAATATATTTTTTTATTTGTTTAAAAAAATTGAGACCTGCATAAAATTTGTTTATGGCATCATTTTTAATCATGGAAATTTAGGAGAAAAAAACAATATCGGCTGCAAAAACAGCTGAAAACACATTTGGGAGATTTTATTTTTTCTGCTCTGATCTTAACATTTTGTTGATAAGTTTGTATTTTAGCAGAAATAGAATCTCTTAATATCCACCTCATTTGGGAAATTCTCGCCTATTTTGCATACCCAAATGGAAAAGCAAAGAACTGTAAGCCCAAATTTCATGTGTGATACATTATTTGAAAGCTAACACCTTCTAGTTACATGAAACTTGGGTGAGGAAAACAGCCCAAGCTGCATCAGTTCAAACATGACTCGACATTTGTTTTTTTTATTCTTGAAAATAAAAGGTCTTTTTTGAACAGCAGTAATAAAGACATGCTTGCTTCTTCCGGCTGCTTTGTCATGGTACATTTTGACATGTTGCTAAATCTTCTCAAAACCTGGTGGGTTTTGGCAGGGTAATACAAAATTAAAAACATGCAGGCTAATATTCTTGTTCTAAACAAACATAATCATAATTGAACAGGAATAAGAATATGAAAAATTCAAAAAGTTTATTTTTATTTAGATAATTTGTAGCATCGTCTGTTAATTTGCAAATAGGGTCCCCAGCTAGAAGCTAATGCTGTTTAGGGGTTGGATTTGCAGCACAGAAAAGTTTGGGAAGCCCTGCCTTAGATTACCTTCCTCCTGGTGAAACATGTTGGTGGAAGTCTCTTGTTGTGAAAATTTTTTTTGTTTTTTGTTTTTTTTCTCCACAGGGACAGAGAATCTGGGTGGAATTAATCAGAAAAAAGAGAGGACTATATAGAGGGAGAACATAAAGGGAAAACGATGCAGACACTGTAAAAAGGAGATGAGATTAGGATAGGAGATCCACCTTCCACCATAGGAACAATAAAGACACAGCTGGAGCTAAACCTAGATTGATTAACTTTATGGGTCAGCAATCTTTACAAACAAAAGACTACTGTATAAAGTTTACCTAAAGCCCTAAAACCTTCATGAGGCTTAAACAAAGCTTATCATCCATATAAATATCCTTATACATAATACCTGTTGGTTAAATAGTTAAAGATTAACAATGTTATATATGGTATTAGCTTATCTGTGGCTATTTTAGTGAATTAAATATTTTTTTATAAAGCATTTAGTATGCAGCCAAATGATAATGGTGAGGAAAAAGAAGAGCCCAGCGGTGTTCTTAGACCAAATATCTATTCATATATTAACTGAGCAGCAGTGGCAAAACGCCACTTGTTTCTGTGGAGCTGCAGGTTGCAGACCCGTGATCTAGCAGAGCGAAACTAGGATCCACTTTAAAACACCTTCATTCCTAATAATTGTTAAATCAAAATCAGTTGTCTCTATGCAAGACAATATCATCATATAAACAAAATGATTTATACATATATTTATATGATTTTTATTTATTCATTTATTTTTTTTCTGTTTTATAATTCTATTGTATTTTATGATTGTGTACAGCACTTTGGTCCTGTCCAGTGCATAAAATGCTTCATAAATAAAGTTGGTATGGTATGGTATACAGGGGCTGTACCAGTTCTACGGGGGAACGGTCCCCTAGTGGCCCCTGTCTAGAAACCCCCATGGAAGGGCCCAGCATACAATTAGTGCCATTCTACTGTGGAAATCCTTTACAAATGATGGATTCAAAAATTAAGAATTCTTAGATGTATTGTTCTATCTTTTTTTTTTTCAAGGCTTTGTTCTTTATGAGACATTGTTAAATTTTAAAGAACCTATACAGAAGGCCTAAAGGGCAACATGTTGCTACAGAGTGACAGCCTGCAGAAACCTGGTTTTGATTAAGAGTCAAATCCACATCTAAATCCAAATAATCAGCGATTTTGCTTGAAAACAAACATTCCAACACTTTCCATCCTTATGGTTTAAGCCATTTTGTAAAGAGGAATGCAAAAGATTTCAGTCGCAAAGCCTGTAAAGCTGGGAGATGACTGCTATGACAGATGGTTAATAAACCTGGTGAATCAAACAGGAGCTAAACACAGTTCAGACATTTAAAATAAGGAGCTTTCTACTCCTTTGTGCTAAAATAGCACATAAAAATGTAAAAACTTTGGAGAAGTTATAGTTTTATGAATACTTAGCAGGGAACTGAAAAAGAATGTCAAAATACTGCGCTAAAGTCCACCTTCTTGCTTCAAATGGTCGGCTTTATTACATCTATGTTAAGTTATATATCTATAATAACTGGACTGATTTGTTTTCTACAAGAAGTACTTCCTATATCATCATACTGTCTACTAATTTAAGATCTAAAGCTTTGCTCCACTTATAAACACCAAGTCTATTGAATTTACCAACAAAAAACTCAAAGATGAATATATTACTGCTGGTCTTCTGCGTAAAGTATGATCAGGATCCCACCGAGAGCCTTTCACAGATAAACAGCTGTTGTCACTGACTTGGACATGTTTAGTGATCAGGTGGTTGGAGTGTGTCAGAAAGAAGGAAACTAGGTGTGAGACTGAAAGCAGAAAGAGAAGCACAACATGAGGAGAGAGACAGGCAGCTGACCATAGATGAGTCATTACTAGACCTGAGCTCAAACAGAAAAACAACACGTTCAACACTAAACAGAAACAGGACATATGTCAGATGGCCTGCTGGAGTCAAACACTGACAGGAGGTCTGGATGATCTTTTTTTTTTGTCGTTTGAGCCCAGATGTTTCTAACTCCTCGTGCAGTTTTGAAAACAAAGCTGTTTTAGATCAGATCCGGGGATCACTGCAGCGTGTCAGTTTTACTCCATGTGTTTGTGCCTTCATACAGGTGTGGCCTAGCTTGTTAATAGAACCACGGGGACCTCCTGTTTTTGCTTAGCACAGAAAGAGAGAAGCGAAAAAAAGGCCTGAAACCCTGGTGTGGCTGTTACTACAGCTACAACTGTCATGGGGATACGTTACAAGATCAACAAGGAAAACAGTGAAACTCAAAGTGAAGGAAATGCACAAAAAATAGTAGAGAGCAATAATGAGAAAAAACTTTTGGGGAAAAAAAAGGTGTGTAAGAAAGGACAAACAACTGAGAAAGAAATGGACCAAGTCTGTCCCAGAAGATTTAGACTCCTGAAACTAATCAGCGGAGAAGGCGGCCGGCTTTAACCATCCGTCTTCTCCAGTTCCCTGAGGGAATCATTTAGGACAATTATTGTCATTACTGCTTGAGAAACTGTTTCAGTAAAATGGATTTCATATGGCTCTTCAATAAAAATAGGATAAATGTTATAGGCTTCGTTTTGGTCCATTATAAACTGGTCTCTAACGATTTTGTAATCTCTAAAGCGTTCCCTGAGACATGCATAAACTAAACCTTACAATTAGGATTGCTGACAGCTTCAGACCCTGCTAGATCAATCAATTCCGTAACAAAGGATGATACAACCTCTAGTATGGTTTGAAAATCTATTAGCACGTCGCATTTAACAGAAAAAAAAACTTTGACGAGATATTAGAATTTGAAATTCACAATTTATACGAATAACTACAAAAGTATGGTTTAGAAGTATTTGGGTTTCAAAATAAACAACAAAACAACAAAAAAATCATTTCTGCAGCAGCATGTTGGGGCTTTCAGATGGTCAGGAGTTGCACATTTCAGTGGAGAAAAATTGCATTTCCATTTTTGGGGTACATGCAATAAGTGGAAGTGTTGCAGGAGATCTACAAAGATTGCTGCGCCAATGTTAAGACGTGCAAACTGATTTGGTTTGACCCGTTAAAATGAGCAGATTGTGTGTTCTACAGGCAGTTTGACAGTTCAGGTTCAAAGCTCTGGAGATGGAGATAATAAAAGATAGTTATAATAGAACATATTTATGGGTTACTTTAAATTGGTAAACTTTCTTCAGGCAAAACAGTACAAAAATTAAATCATGAGAAAAACTGAAGTTAGATATATAAAAATGAAATATAAAGCATGAGCACAGTTGTCTGTCTGTTGATTGGCAAGTCCTCTCCCCTCACCAAGGTGTGAGAGTCTTAAAACAGTTGGAAACCTATAAATAATAAACCTGCTGTGTTGAATTGTGGGAGAAAAAGTCCCAGCTGCAAGCAGTTGTGCACTTTTCGCTCCAATGTCACTTTGCTTAGACTTGGACAAACTTTATTGTCATTTTGTACGCACAGTGTATAAAAACTAAATTCCTTTGCATACAGTTTACAACAGTGAAATTATATTGCATTTGGAGCAAGATAAACATTACCATTTTAAGGTTTAAGGTTAAGTGCAGTGCAAAATAAATATGGTGCAAAATGCAGTAGAACATTATGTTGTCCCTATTTAAAAGGATTATAAAAGTTCAGCTATATTGGTGA